TTATTTTTTATTATTTTTATTTCAGCATTTCCGTAGCACTAAACTAAATAAATTTTGTGCTTCTTAAACATTGTAAAATAAAAAAATATGATTTTAATCAAAATTAATGCTAAACATTTATCAAAGATCGAAAATGAAAATATATTATTGCCATAAAAACGCGTTTTAATTTTTAGGAGTTCTATAAAAATCAATTATGCCTCTATACTTCTTTTATTTTTCTCAAAAATACGGAAATTTGAAAAAGTATAAACAGTACGGAAATTTGGAAGGGTTACACGGAATAAATCATTTTTGAACAAGCAATTACTGTTATAAAGAATGCATTTTTCTCAAAAAGTTAATAATGAAAAAGTGTAACAGTAGTAAAACTTATACACAGTGATGGGCGGTGGGTAAATGTAAATACCCGATGGGTATAATAAAGAAATTTGGGTATCAAGCTGGTGTATACACAGAAGGTGTAGGGTATACAGGGTGTCCCAGGTTGAGCGTGCATTAGAAGTTTCTAGAGAACTACAATATCTAAAAAACCGTGTTTCGCTAGCTACTGTAATTTTGGAGTTACGATTTTTTTAAATTTTTAACCCCCTCCTATACCCCCTTACCACCCCCCACCCCCACCAAACACTAATGGCCAGATTCTCGGGTGCCACAGTATTTTGTGCCAAATTTGGTTTAAATCGGTTCAGCGGTTTTTGAGTTATCGTGTTACAGACGGACAGACGGACGGACAGACAGACAGACAGACACCACGAAAATATTTTGTATTTAGGTCCCAAATAACTCATTTTGAGTGAAATTAAAAAAACTTTTTTTTTGCCGATCCTAATAGCCTACCATACCTATTGGTATGGTCGGCTAAAAATCGGTATTTACTTTAGATGGTCTGTACACAATTCTAAATTTAATGCTTTAAATAGACAACTAAATTAATATTTGCGGGGTATAACTGATTTAGAGCCCATAATAAATAGTTAATCTGATGATCCAGCTCGGGGTATTGAAATAAACTTATTAAATTATTGTAGTGTCTAGTGTCATTGATCTTTGATGCGTGTGTAGGTATATAATGTAAATTGGATCTGGAATGGTACAAAAATTGCACGTAACAAATAGATTTATACGTGTAAAAAATAGCTTTTACGTGTAACAAATAGTTTTATACGCGTAAAATACAAAATTAATAAATAATTTAATTTACTTTCACAAAATTTGTATTAAAATATTAATATTTTTATAAACACGTGGACTGCCCACAAATACACGTCGCGTCACTACCTGTTTCTAAGCCATGCCGTATGCTGTCCTTATTACCACTTTTCGTCTCGCGCTTTTGATTTTTCACGGCTTTGAACTTTTACTCCCAGCGCGCTTAAAAAAATTCACTTCACAAAAAATTAAAACTTAATTTATATAAACATATTATGTATCGATATTTTCATAAATTATTATTACTTAAATCGATACTTATAGACATTCCTAACGTGATACTGGTCGCTTCATTATATGAGAAATCAAAGAAACCGAATGGGAAACAACGTATTGGTAGTAGCGATATCGAAGGAGTAGGGAGAATAAGGGGGACCGAGATATGTTTACAAAACGAAACAAAAACAATTATTACTCTTTGTACTCGTATAATTGCGGTGCTCCAGTTTCTCGAAAAATGGTTTCGCTAAATCGCCCAATTTTATGCTAATGCAATAACTGACGTCGTACAATACATAAGTCGTCTACACAATTCAGAGAGAATTTTATATACCCAAAGCGTAAAGCCAAATAGAGAGAGGCAACAGCTTGGAATTGCTGTTTTGAGCTTATACATATATTTTGCATGGTATTTCATGTATCTGTTTTTTTTGTATTTATTGTTATTAGTCAAAAATCGCAAGAGACGATTGGAAATAGTGATGGGCATAATATTAATCTCATTTCGCCTTGTATCCATATTTTTCCATTTGATACTTGATATTTTCCCTTACGTTATCATTATTATACAGGGTGGTCCGAACTGTATTCCGAAAACTTCGGCAGCATATTCTGCAGTTAAAAAAATAATAAAAAATTCTTATAAATGTATGTCCTAAAATGCTTAGTTTCGGAGATACAGGGTGTAGAAGTTTAATTTTTTTTTCGATTTTTATCAAATAATTTTTGAAGTAACGTCAATATTTGGATGAAAATTGGAAGTTTTTTGACATGAGAAATTGGATTCTGATGTCGATATGACTCCTACTTGTAGAGGACGCTACCTACCTATTTTTTAACTGGTTTGAAGAGTAATAACTTTTTGTCCGTACCTGTATAAAACTACTGTGTAAAAAAATATATATTTACAACGTTTTTACGCTTCGTATCTAGTTATCTTATAACTTATCGAAAAGGTGAAAACTGAACGCCGTAGAGTATATATATATATATATATATATATATATATATATATATATATATATATATATATATATATATATATATATATATATATATATCATATATATATATATATATATCAGAATCCAATTTCTCATCAAAAAACTTCCAATTTTCATCCAAATATTGACGTTACTTCAAAAATTATTTGATAAAAATCGAAAAAAAAATTAAACTTCTACACCCTGTATCTCCGAAACTAAGCATTTTAGGACATTTATAAGAATTTATATATATATATATATATATATATATATATATATATATATATATATATATATATATATATATATATATATATATATATATATATATATATATATATATATATATATATATATATATTACGTAGAAACCTGTGGGGAACGCTGGGAACTGTCATTTTCGAAATATGACTCAATTTTTTTTTTAATAGGACTCTCTGTCTATTATCATGACCTTTTTAAAAATACAATACATTCCATACTTATTTTCATAAACTAGGTAAAAAATTCATTTTTAACATTTTAACGTAAATAAAAATACTTAGTTTAAAACAGTTTTATTATTAAACCGCATTGAAAATAACCTTGCGCAACTTCTAGATAACACTATGTCAATAAGAGATATTGATATTTTTAATACACTGGGGCAATAATTCTATACACAGAAACCAGCGTCGAATAGCCAATAACCAAAATTTGACGTCGAATAAATTATCGATTGTTTTGATTACCTATTTTAAAAAGTTAATGCATTTTTTTATCTTGTTTATGAAAATAAGTATAGAGTATGATATTTTTAGAGAATAACAACACGATAATATTATTTATGATGTATTGTTACGGATGACGTGGGTCCGTAACTTAAAACACACGATAAAACAGTTTAAACTAATTTGTTTTACAACTATAATCACAATTTCCTAATTAAATATAACACACAAATGTCAAAACTAACGCTTTGTCTGATAATTATCGATATTTATTGATAAAATCATATAAATATCGATAATTTGATAGTTATCGATATATCGATAGTTATCTATATAGCGATAATTATCGATAAATCGATAATTCTTGAACTATCGATAACTAAAATATATCGATAGGTGAATTGCAATACTTATCGATAGGTAAAATCCATTATCGTCCATCCCTAGTTTTAGTTATTGTCTTTTTTGTTTTACACATTTTGTGAGTTTCACCAAAAATCGTAAACACAATTAATGGAATATCTAAAAAAATCGGAATTTGTAACAAAACAGAGTTATGCTACTATTTTAGAATATACAGGGTGGTCTGAACTGTATTCCGGAAACTTCGGCAGCATATTCTGCAGATAAAAATAAGTAAAAAAGTTCGTATAAATGTATGTCCTAAAATGCTTAGTTTCGGAGATACAGGGTGTAGAAGTTTCATTTTTATTTCGATTTCTTCCAAATAATTTCTAAAGTAATGTCAATATTTGAATGAAAATTGGTGTCTCGGAGTTTTTTTGACATGATAAATTTGATTTTGATGTCAATATGGCTCCTACTAGTAGAGGGCCCCACATACATATTTTTTAACCGGTTTGAAGAGTAATAACTTTTTGTCCGTACCTGTATATAACTACTGAGTAAAAAAATATACATTTATGACGTTTTTTACGTAAAAAGGGTCTCTTGGTAAAAATCGCTACGAGTAATGGTTTTCGAGATATTTGGAATCGAAATGATCAATACCTGTCATCATTGACATTAATTAAACATGTTGTGACTAAATAGTTATTAGACTGAATTCATAAATTTGAAATATATTTGTGCCAAAAGTTCAACAGAAACTGTTTTATCATCATTTTTCGCAGAAAAATTTATGATTAATTTAAAAAAAATTAAAATTTTCTAAATTTATTATTTCAGTGAAATAACTATCTACTCAACGTGTTTATTTTTCGTCAATAATGATATGTATTGACTATTTCCATTCTAAATATCTTAAGAAAGGTTGCTCGCAATTTTTACAAAGAGCTATTTTTTACGTAGAAAGTGACAGAGATGTATATTTTTTTGCTCGGTAGTTTTATACACGTACGGACAAAAGTTATTACGCTTCAAAACAGTTAAAACACATGTAGGTGGCGCCCTCTACTAGTAGGAGTCATATTGGCATCAAAATCAAATTTCTCATGTCAAAAAACTCCGAGACACCAATTTTCATCCAAATATTGACGTTACTTCAGAAATTATTTAGAAAAAAATTGAAATAAAAATGAAACTTCTACACCCTGTATCTCTGAAATTAGGCATTTTAGGATCTACATTTATACGAACTTTTTTAGTTATTTTTATCTGCAGAATATGCTGCCGAAGTTTCCGAAATACAATTCGGACCACCCTGTATAGACATTTAGAAGCTCGGCTTTTACAAAAAAAAATAATTTTGGAGCCCTTGGTTTTAAACGATTTTTGTCTGGTAGATAAATCTTTTCCCACATCTAGTGATTTAGTACCGACTTTTCATGCCCAAGCGACTTATCATTTCCTTATTCTACATCCGTTCTGTATGATTATTTCCAATATCACTAATTTTTATGTTTATTTGCAGTACCAGACTACGAATTGGTGCCCATATACCATCACGTAAGGAAAAGAAGCATAGACACAGCGTCCGGTGGTACAAACTCCATACCAGAAGTGAAAACTTACCCTACCAAAGGCCCTCCAATACGCCAAAATCCAAAGTTGAGGCTGAAGGCCTTTGGGGAACCATTTAACTTGAGTTTAGTGCCCAACGAGGGACTCTTTAACAGAGAGAAAATCAAGATTATCACTGTAGAACCCAATGCTACATCCCAGCATGGCGTAGAATACGTGGAACATCCCCAAGTAAGTAAAGACCTGTGAAAATAACAAATTTATAAAAAATAAGTAGTTTTGAGTCTTTGATGTTATTAAAAAAAAATTTATTGCGAATTTTCAGCTAAACATATTTTTATTAGTTATATAATATTATATAATATAACGGGTGCGTCTCAAAAGTGGCTCACCCCTATAACTTATTTTTTCAGATAAAAAAACGAGATTTGGTATGATAGTATATGACATAAATTAGGATTGATTGGCGGTATTCAATTGTTTTTGGTCACTTCCTATTTCACTTTAAATAACTACTACTTTTGATTTTTTAATGGCACCCTCGGTATATTTCTACCTTATTTGCTAGAAAATGACACGCCATATAGAATGACGTATCATGTCAACTTTTGACATTTTCGCATATGGGTTATTTGAAATTGTAACATGTGGTTCATAATGACAATTTGACTCGAAATACCAAGTGTGTGGTACCAAATTATTCGTAAAAAAATGCTTTCTCCAAATATGCTAACGAACCACCCTTGTTTCGTTTGAAAAAATTAGATATTATTAAAAATACGATTTGGGCATCTTTTAACTGGCCAGGACAAGACATGAAAGACATTAGACGATCAAATCTATTTTTCCAAGGCTCCTTCTATGGAAAATTAGTGTTTATAACACAGCCATGGCACTATAGATTGAAATAAAACATACTATTTTTTTTTAAAGCGACAATGTCAAAAGTTGACATATGATATGTCATTCTATTCAGAATGTCATTTTCTATCGAATAAAGTAGAAATATACCGAGAGTGCCATTTAAAAATCTAAAGTTGTACTCATTTCCGGTGCAACAGGAAGCAACCAACAACAATTGATTACGTCAATCAATACTAATTTATGTCATATACTAATATACCAAATCTCGTTTTATCTGAAAAGATAAAAAAGGTATAAGGGCGAGCCACTTTCGAGACGCACCCGGTATATAGGATGAGTCTTAAATAAGTGCAAATATTTTTAGGGCTGGTAGATCTCGATTAAAGAAAGTTCAAATTTCTTTCAAATAAGTCCAAAATAATCGTGATATTCAAAAAAATTGATTTATATTTTTAAAAAAATTGAGATCCACCGGATTTTTTTCTGTATCTGCATCCCTTTTAGCTAAGAAATTATACCGTGCGAAAATTTGCGGTGGACAGCAGTTCTAAAAAGTTTTCAAAATTCAAAAAACTTCTGAAATTCAATTCTACAAACAGGACAATTTAAAAGAAAATGCACATCTCTTTTGCTAGAAAAACCTCATAACGTGTTCATAGGGGGTCGACATATACCACCCCATAAAAATATTTGCACTTATTTAAGACTCACCCTCTATAGTATTAACGGCGTCCAGTTGGCTTGGAAATAAAGATCAATGACATTCCCCATATAATTTTACATATAATATAAATGACAGTGATCTTTATTTCATAGCCGTCGCTGACGCCGTATTTTTTTCGATCATATTGTACCATACCAAACCATACGATCAAAAAAAAACGGCGTCAAATACGACTGGGGAAGGACTGTGGGAATGACAATCGATAATAATTTGGTGGAGGTCAAGCCCTAGATCCTAGATGTCATTACCTGGTGGCCTTAAAAAGGTTGTAATTTATTTTTATATTGAGTACAAACAATTTTTAAATGGTGTAGTTTTAAATCTGAGAAAAAATAATTTTTTGGAAATAGATTTGTGTATCCGGACACGGTTCTATATATTTTTAAAATGTCTATAACTAATGTTAATTTTTGACAAGAATTATGTCAATTTCTAGAAAAGAGATTGATCTCGCTAATATGATTATTAATTGTTTTTCCCCAGCCGTTTCTGACGCTGTTTTTCTTATCCAATATTTTAAAAACCCAGTTTTCAATGGAATCTGAAATATGATTTTTATTCGTTTTATTGAGGAATATTTTAAAAAATACAAATAGTCAGATATTTAAAACAATCCCTATTAACTTTGAAAAATATGCTCTAAACCAGTGATTCCCAAAGTGGTCCAGGTGGACCCCCAGGGGTCCACGGGAGACTTGCTGGGGGTCTACGTAGGCGTGAACAAAAAATGGGGGTCCATAAGATGTTAATGGGGGTCCACGAAAATTTATCTGCTTTTGATAGTAAAGAGCAAAAATGTAAGCATAGTTTTTATAAGGGCCTACCTACATTGTTTTAAGTACCTATCTAAGCAGATAATATTTTAATAAGGCAAGCGACTGTTACTTGTCCAAACTTGCGTATTCGATATTACGTACAATTTCGTGTACAGACTTGCAAAGCGCTATCCGCCCGACAATGCTTAATGCTTGTTCAGACATGAACTTGATCACCACTATAAATACTTGATGCCAAAGGCAAACGCATTCATTTGTTTCCGGAATTTCGAAAAAAAGGCGGAATTTGGAAAAAAAGTTGTGAGAAAATTTATATCTGTGTTTGCTAGTGCCGGAGAAAAGTAAGTAACCTACCTTTTTTTGTTATAGTACTTAAGTATTTTGTTTACGTGTACTAGTCGGTTGATCACAACGGCCTGTATAGATAGGTAACCTAGTAACTTACAGATATTTTAATTGTCCTCTTCGATTTGAAGACAAACACAGCACGTTTTATTCAATTGTGTTTTCACGAGAGAAACACTGCCTCTCTAAAAGGCCGAATAAGCAATATTGCAGAGCAATTAATTTTGTAATTTTTCTTGCAAATAACTACTAATTTTATAAAACAGTAATTTCATAATCATTTTAAATTGGTTTTGAAGTAACTATTTTATCAAAACTATTCCTTTTCGGAAAGAGCGAGCGGTGCGCGGGCGACGGGAAAAGGGCGGGACTTGGACTTCGATGCCAGTTTGTCACAATGACGTTTTAACAATGAAGCCGCAGACAAAAAATACGCAAATACACGGAGCGCGTGAACTCATTGATTTAATAAAATGTTAGTTATCGTTTTTATGGACAATTTTGGGATTTCGACTTTTATTTTTTCCTACACAAATATGATCAGTATTCGATACTGAGTACACCAATTTTTATTTATACTATTAAAAATTAGTGGTAAATTATGTACTTTAAAATTGATACCGTTTTGTGAAAACGTCTGTATTTGTCTCAGCGGTTTATTAGTTGGTCCCTTTACAAGCCGTAATTCTATTTCCGCGTGCTGACAAAGGCTGCGGTGTGATACCTATATTCAGAAAAAAACTTGGTTACTAAAACATTTTTTTTTTTTTACAGGTAAGGTAACTGACACGAAACATGGCTACAGCAAAGAAAAAATGTCGACAATATAGTATCGATTATTTGAAATATGGTTTTGTTCCATCAGAGGCAGACAAACAATTGCCCATGTGCCTATTATGCAACAAAGTTTTGAGCAATGACTCTATGAAACCATCAAAGCTCGAAGATCATCTAAAAAGGTGTCATACTGATAAAATAGGTAAAGATTTAAAATATTTTCAAACATTGAAAGAAAAATATGGAAAGAGACCCACCATGCACAGTATGTTCGCTTCAACATCTCAAAGTAACGATGATGGCTTGCGGGCATCTTACAATATCTCATTACTTATAGCAAAATCTGGAAAACCGCACACTATCGGAGAACAATTAATTTTACCCGCTGTTGAAGAGGTTTTAAAAACTGTTTTGCACAAATCTCCATTTGACGTACTAAAAAGAATTCCATTAAGTAACAATACTGTACAAAGACGCATTGATGAAATGAGCTCTGATATCGAAAGCTTTTTGTGCAATCATCTGCAAAAAACTCATTTTTCTATACAACTGGACGAGTCAACGTTACCCAGTAATGAAGCATTACTATTGGCATATGTCCGATTTATTGTTGAGGAAGAAATTCACGAAGAATTGCTATTTGCCAGAACTTTGGAGACTGACACTAAAGGCGAATCAATATTTAATGTCCTGAGTAATTTTTTTACGGAAAAATCGATCCCATTTACAAACATTATTTCAGTGGCAACAGACGGAGCTCCTGCAATGGTCGGGCGATATCGTGGGTTTATAAGTCATCTCAAAAGAATTATACCAGGACTTACAGCTATTCATTGCGTAATCCACCGACAACATCTTGTGGCAAAACATTTAAGTGACAGGTTGAACCAATCTCTTCATTTTGTAATAAAAGCTGTCAACAAAATCAGAAGCAATGCATTGAATACGCGTTTATTTGCTCAATTGTGCGACGAAAATGATGAAGACTTCCAACGACTGCTCTTACATACTGAAGTACGCTGGTTGTCGAAAGGTGCATGCTTAACGAGATTTTACTCTGTTTTCGATTCCATATTAGAGTTCTTAGAAAGTAGAGATCCAGATTTAAAAGAAAACTTGATCAAATTCAAAGCAGACATTGCGTATTTGACAGATTTGTTTAAAAAATTTAATGATATTAACTTGCAGTTACAAGGGGACAGCCTGAATTTAATAAAAACAAAGGGGATAATTTCGGCTTTTCTTGGGAAATTGAAATTTATGAAGCAAAACATTAGTCGGCGCGAATTCTCTCAATTTCCAAACTTGTCGCAGGTAGAATGTATTGATGAGGATATCCATACCTACAGTCAACATTTAAGTGCTCTGCATGATGACTTCAAAACCAGGTTTGAAGATATACTGACGATGGATATACCACCATGGATCATAAATCCATTTGATGAAACGGAAGTGGCCAATGTTGTATTACAAGAGGAGCTGCTCGAGCTAAGCACTAATGAGGAGCTGAAGGTGAAATTTAGAAAAGGCTACCCAACATTTTGGCTGCAAGCAGAAATACCCGAAAAATATCCTGGACTGTGGGAAATCGCAAGGAAATTTTTAATAGCTTTTCCCTCGTCATACCTTGTCGAAAGGAGTTTTAGTGCCGTTACAAACCTCTTAACAAAAAAAAAGGAGCAAATTAAACATCACAGAGCGGGGGGATTTGCGGTTATTGCTCACAAAAATAAAGCCAAACATTGATCGTTTGCTGACACTCCATCAGATACATCCTTCCCATTAATTAAAATTATGACCTGAACCTATATTACCTTAATATTTTTTCTTGTAATTCTATTCTTTTAATAAATAAAGTGATATAAAATGTACCATTTTTCGTTTTTATTTTACATATCGGAATATAGGGACAGAACTCAGAAGTGACACAATTTTTATTTTTTGGCGACTTTAAGAATGTGGTAGAAATGTAGCAGCAGGGGGTCCACCGAAACCAGTAAAATTTTGAAAGTGGCCCACGAGAAAAATAAGTTTGGGAACTACTGCTCTAAACAAAGATTTATAAAACTATAACGAACTAAAAGTCAACATCTTCGACCAAACCACCATAAAAAAACGATTATTAATTGATAATTGGTTATAATTGGTTATTGATAATAAACCAGTTGTTTATCCAGTGACTTCGTAAGGACTTAAAAAAATAATAATAAAAATAAAAATGTCTTATTTTAATGACACAGCCTTTATCAATATTTATCAAAATTAGAACTTAAGTATCTTAGGTAAGGAGGATTCAATATAATTTATCAGATTTGAAATAAATACTGTCCTAAGAGTAGTTTACTCTTGACGAAAAATATCGAACCCCATTAAAACGTACGTCTATGAGGTATCGCATTTCTTGCCCAGGGCAAAATGTACGTCTTATAGCTATACAGCCTCCTGCCAAAAATGAAAAAGATCGCTCAACAAACAACCAAGATATTGGCTTGTATTATCCATCTTAAGTGGGACACCCTGTAGATAATTAGTCAACTTTCAGTACCTACGTTGTTATGCAACTAAAAATACACAAAATATTTTCTTCCCATTTTTTGAATTAACGGACATTTTTTAAGTTTTAATATAAATAAACGCGAGTACCTGATTTTTTAAAGATGCAATTATATGTTTTACAATGGAACGTATTACTAACGTAGGTAATAAAAATCAAAGAATATTATGTAAATTAAATTAAATTTAACATTAGGAGCGCGTGTATATAATTACAAATCAAATACGCAGTGAATAGTTAAATTAGATAATTAAATAGGTAGTTATACGCAAAGATGTAAATCGTTGCCTTGTAACCGTTAAATAAAATAATAATATTATGCAACTTTCACCAGGTTAAATAACTGCAAGACAGTGAAAGAAGAAAGTATTTCTTCTGCTACTGGTCTCTGACAGCAGAAATGAAGATATTATGACCTAGATATGGCTAAATATAGACTTAATACTTACAGTTTCAATAAATAAAACATAACCGGAAGCAATCGTGATCACGAAAATACGTATTCAGATTCGCATATAGATAAAAATGTTTATCTACTCAAAAACTTTCTTGGTTAACAAATAATAACAGATAAATTCACTTCCTATCGAATATATTCAAGGCCAACTCGTTATCAGCGTCATATTAACGTAAAAAAGTCACAAAGAATTCCTGTCCAATCTTTCTGACAGGAAATTATTTTTTTATTAACATAATAAGATATCTATTTCCCTATTTTTACGCGATGTGATTTTGCAAACATGGAAGTATTTGGGTCAGGTTCAGTTTAACTTGTGTGATAGGAATATCTTATATATAGAAAAGAAGGTATATAAATTTAAAAAAAAGAAGAGTTTCACAGGAAATATTCATTGTTAAAATCTTCAAATTTTAATGTTATTCATCAACCGGTTCTTATAAAGCGTTTTATAAAATGATGTTATAGCCGAAATAGCTCAGTTGGGAGAGCGTTAGACTGAAGATCTAAAGGTCCCTGGTTCGATCCCGGGTTTCGGCATAACTTTTTTTTTTTTTTTTCATTTTTAAAATATTGTTTTATCACTGCTTTTCAGTTTTTTTTCAGTCATTTACCACCAAATTGTTGTTTTTCGTTAATAACGCCTATCAAAAAATAATATACATGATTTCAAAATTAGAACAAAAATAACTTTCAAAATTATATTGCATGCTTACTTTCTCTTAACCTTTCATGTCAATTTCATTTTTCTATTCTAATTTCTGAATCTAATCGCGATTTTACAATATTTGCATAAAAACTATATTGTAATATTTATTATTTCATAATAATTTTATAACCGTTTGTTATACAATAATAACTATTTTTCGCTATAAACAATTTGCATTGGTAAATCTAATTTTTAAGGCAGTTATTTTTTAAGATTTGATATATTCTTTTTTATGTATTCTGTTTATTTTATGGAAGTTCTCTATTTAATTGAAAAATTTTAAATAGTAAGGCCGATATGAAGCTTTTCCAGAAGACCCTGTATTTGAAAAGAAAAATAGACATTTTAGTTAACATCTGCGTAACGTAAAAAAAAGTTTAAAGAAAGAAAAAAAATAGTTCCATATACCGGGTGCGTCTCAAAAGTTGCTCACCCCCTATAACTTTTTTATTTTTTCAGATAAAAAATTGAGATTTGGTATGTTAGTATATGACATAAATTAGGATTGATTGACGCATTTAATTGTTTTCGGTCACTTCCTGTTTCACCGGAAATGACTACAACTTTTGATTTTTAAATGGCATCCTCAAAATATGGTTACTTTATTACATAGAGAATGACACTCTGAATAGAATGACATATCATATGTCAACTTTGGCCATTGTCGAATATGGTTTATTTGAAATTGCAACAGGCGACAATGCAATCATAACGACAATTTGACTCGAAATACCAAGTGTGTGGTACCAAATTATTCGTAAAAAATATCTTTTTCAAAATATGCGAATGAGCCATTTGAAAAAATTCAGATATGATTAAAAATACGATTTGGGCATCTTTTAACCGACCAGGAGAAGAAACTCAAAACATTAGACAATCAAATCTATTTTTCCAAGGCTCCTTGATTAAAAATTAGTATTTTTAACACAGCCATGGCACTCTAGATTGAAATTTAAAGTACAATTTTGTTTTAAGCGAAAATTTGTTCACATCCAGAATGGCATTTTCTATCGAATAAAGTAAAAAAATACCGAAGGTGCCATTTAAAAAGCAAAAGTTGTAGTCGTTTCCGGTAAAATAGGAGGTGGCCGAAAAGAATTCGTCAATCAATCCTAATTTATGTCATATACTAACATACCAAATCTCGTTTTTTTATCTGAAAAAGTAAAAAAGTTATAGGGGTGAGCCACTTTTCAGACGCACCCAGTATAGAACATTAAAAATACATACGTAAAAAGTGAAATTCAGTTCGTGGTGTGCCAAAGTTTTGTATTGTTTTAAAGTACTAACATTGCCTAGTTTTTATGGATGTTATAGATAAGAATAACTACCTATAATATTTTTCTACTACCGGAACCTCCGTAAAATGTCATAGCACACAATTCCTGCTATGACAGGGTTTTTTCAAGTATAATTTTTTTATAAAAAATCCTTATCCGTTTTAGCCATTCTATTTCTTTTTTTTTGCTTGTTACATTGGCTTTTGTGTTTGATTTTTTTTATGTCGTTTAATTTCGGAACTTGTTTTTTTATTACACGACCACTCCCCATTTTGTTTATATACAAATATGTCATAAAGAGTAGCTTACGTAAATAATATCCTATCCAAAATGTTATCTTAACTAGGAAGTAGATGCAAAATAAGTATCACAGCGTTGCACGATTTCATTTTTCATCAGTATAAGGCGTTGCCATATTTTATAATAATTCTTCTTGAAATTTATTTGAAACGGTAAAAAAAACTTCGTCTAGACTTCAACAATTAAAAATATATGCTTTTTTGTACACAGGATGGTGAAGAGATAGGTGAACTGTATCAAGACGAAGAAAACCAGGCAGCCATTTTATTAAGAAAAGAAGGAGGCGATATTGTAGTGGTGAGTGTTATTTATATATTTGAGATATCTACTTATTTTACTATAGGTTCAAAAGCGTATTTTGTATAGGGTGGCGCCTCTCATACGCCGCGGAAGCTCCAAGGAGAACAGTAGTTTATATTGAAATGAAATTTTGGCAGCATATGTAGGTTAACTGAAAGCATTTTGTAGAATGAGTGGGAGGGGGGTTAATCACTTCGACCTTACAGATCCATTGTGTCCCAAGCATTTTATAAAAATATATAGAATTATACAGGGTGTCCCCAAAAGAGTTACACATCAAAGTTGTGTTTTTTGTAATGGAACATCCTATATAGTAATTGATTTTCGGATTCTAGACAGGATTCTAGGATTCTAGGATTTTGACATATTTCACATTTTGTGAAAATGAAGAGTAAATTTTAAATTTCGATAAAAGCTACCTAAATTTTAGTTGACCTTGTATAGGCTGATATTTAATTACAGTAACCATTATATGTTAAACCAAATTGAAATTTGACCCGAAAAGTTATACAGGGTGAGACAAAATTAATATGGAACATTAGTTACTTTTAAAAGCAAATTACTCCTTTATTTTAAATGGAACACCCAGTATATTTTACCGTTATTCAATGGGGAATTTATATATCTTCATAATATTATTAAGGGCGCCTACAAGTCAGACAAAGATATTCATTCAAAACATATTTTAATTGTTACAGAATTAAAACTAGATATAAACCTATAATTATGTGACAAAAAGTAGCTAGACTAAATTAAATGCTCAAAATGCTTCCTTTCCTGTTAACTGTATAAAATGATTGTCTTTTCAAATGGATCTTTGCATTTTAAAAGACATTATGTGGAGTTCTACCTCGAAAAGCAGCGACAATAATTTCTCTCATGTTTACAATAGTAGGTCGAGTTTTGTAAACACTGTTTTTAACATATCCCCATAAAAAAAACAGATTAGATAAAATCAGGAGCATTTAAGTATTCTATTAATTGGTGAATACGCACTGCATTCACCAACTAATAGAAACATATCAAATTCTTTCTGATGTAGGATAAGTTTGCATTTTCGGAAAATTTCTGATTTTTTGTTTGTTTTAACTTACGCAAAATGATAACTAGTGGTTTAAGTTGGACTAATTGGACAGATATGTTGAAGTAACGTCAGACCTATCACAGCCACCTAGATTTTATCAAATAATAATAAAGATCTACTCATATCAAATAATGTAAATAAAAATATCTAAGAAAATCTTTGTTTGAGGTGTAGGCAACCTTAACAGTATTTTGAAGAGACATGAATTCTCCACTGAATATCGGAATAATATACTGGGTGTTTCATTTAAAATAAAAGAGTAACATGCTTTTAAAGGTGACCAATGATCAATATTAATTTTGTATCACCCTGTATAACTTTTTGGATCAAGTTTTAATTTGATTTAAAGTACAATAGTTAATTTAACTACATATTAGGCTATACCGGGTAAATTCAAATTTGGGTAGCTTTTATTGTATTTTAAAAAATTGTTCTTTATTTCAAGAAAATGTTAAATATGTCAAAAACCTTACATTTTAGTCATATACTTTTCTTATAAAACTCACCTTTATTTTTCTCCCAGAATCCGAAAATCAATTAATATATAGGGTGTTCCATTACAAAAAACACAACTTTGACATGTAACTTTTTTTGGGGACACCCTGTAGAACTCTCTATATTTTAAAAACTGCTCTCAATTAAACTACATGTGCTCACAAATTTTCATCTCAATAGAAGCTGTCGTTCTCCTTGGAGCCTCCGCGGCGTATGAGAGGCGCCACCCTGTATAAAATACTCTGTTTTACGACTCAAGGAAGATTTCGACAGACTATAACAGAGAAAAGACAGATAACGTTCATACCAATTTTTCTTGTTTTTTTTTAAGGGGACACACTGTATATTAGTTTTTTTTATTAGATGGAGACTACAACCATATACAGGGTGTCCCAGAAATGAGTGCAGATATTTTAAGGGGTGGTAGATCTGGCCAAAAGAAACATATTTTCTCTTTACCGTTTTTAAAATAGATTGAAAATAACCGAGTTATTTAACTTTGAAAGTTTAAAAAAAAATTGCGACATTTTGAGAGCCGCCGGGGAATCTCGCGGATCCCCCGGCGCGGGGGAGAGATCTCGCGGATCTCAGCTTGTTCGCCGCCCGCTGTTGCCACATCGACTAGAAAGACTTAAAAAGTACTTGAAAATCCCACACCATCCAAGAGGTTCTGCAGAGGTGCGTTACTTTTTTTAAGTGGGTGATCGCCAGTAGCCCTACTTTTCACATTACACAAAATAAACTAAAAGAAAAAAAACTTACCAAACAATAAAAAAAGATATCCCTATAGCAGAGAGATACAACTGCAGAGCTTTCTTTTTTTCCATTTTACCACTCTTAAAACTGCACATAACACTACACTTAATAACATCACTTCACTACAATTCTTAACAACACTATGCAAATTTTCAACTGTGGAAATATTGGCTCTCCTATTAATTTTAGAGCTAAATCGTAAATGGTTTTTAAAGATACATTACAAATTTGCACAAGGGGATCCAATATCTCGACAGTTCAAAATTTGCATGGGATATCCTATATTTCCAACGATGATGCACCACCCGGTATACCCTTCGCTTCTTGACTGCATGCTATTACAATAATTGTTCATGACGACCTCCATTTCCAATACATGCTCTCCTTCTTCTGAGCATGGAATTTTTAACGTTTTGCAGCAATTCTTCGTTGCTTTTCACGAATCCCTCAAATGCTGAACCATACTTACAAAGGTTCGAGCATTAGGGATTTATCTATTCCGATACTCTTCGGAATAAGTCTCCGAGCTTCTACGGCGCTTTCCCCTGCCAGAAAGTACCTATGCTCCACAAAACATCCCCCTTTAGAACTTTTTCTTTAATGGCCATAAGCGGGAGTAAAAGACCAACCGCCCGAACAAACACTAGAGGCGCCACCGGTCATCAAATGGTGTAAAAATTGCGAAAATTTAATCATCTAATTTTGACACAAGGGGTCGCGCTTAACTTTTTCAATTTTAATTCAATATTCATTGTTTTCAAACTATATTATTAGACTTTGTTGTATTTTGTGAATATATAAATGTTTTCTTAGTATAAAGTTGCATTATAGTAATTTAAATTACATTACATACATATTTAAGATTAAATATTATGACATATATGTCAGTTGCCGTCTAAAATGTCATCTTGATAACAAAAAGTTTAGTTATTGTCAAAAGTAGTTAAAATCATGTTAAAATATTAAAATTTACAAGTTATAATTAGATATTTTATATTATTTCAGCAACAAACACATAATAGTACAGCGTAATGTTGATATGCAGGTCCAAAATAAAAAGTGCCGTTATATTTTTCAGTTTTCGTTGTCAGCCGCGGAAGTTTCAGTGATTTTAGTGCTGTCAGATATTTTTATTTGTGAAATAGAAATATTGCGTTTGGATTGCAAAACTAAAAGTGGAAGTTTTAATGCAATGTAAGTAAACGTTTGTCCATTTTATATTTTACTTTTTTCATACCTACGACAAATATACATACATATATTGAAATTTTATAATTCATTTTATTTAAAAAATGTTAGAAAACAGCTTGTAATCCTGTAATTGACATAATTGTTATGTAATATATTCCATTTAAATGTAATATATTACTTTACAATTAAAAAAATGTAAATTTAAAAAATATATTAAAAATATATACAGGCATTAATTGAAATTTTTTGAGTGCGAACAAACACGAGAGGCGCTTTATTATTTACTTTCATTTCTTAACATGACAGATGAAGTTCTAAAGGGGGATGTTTTGTGCTATGCTCTTAGCATATCCACCATAGAATAACTAACTGAAAGAAATGAAAACTCCTATGTTAAAGCCTGGAAACACGCGCTCGACGCGATCCAAGCGGGCTACTGGCAGAACTAAAAGTTCGCGCCATATTTTTAAATGGACCTTTACTGCCAGTTCATAAGTTTTTTACTTATATTTGGTAATTTCAATCTAGATTATTCATTTATTTATAACAAAACATTTACAAAATAAAAATAATGTATTTCGATACAAATAAATTAATAATCTAGATTGAAATTATCCCTGAAAATAGAATAAAACACGAAAAATTTGTAACATGATTATTTTATTATAACATTTGTTAATAAAAATACATATAACAAATTCAATACTATACAAGTATATATAAAAGTTATCAGAATTTATACGATCAGTTATAAATAATTATAAAAAAAGGTTATAAATTATAAATAAATAAATCATTATATAAAAGGCATATTAGTTAACGTGTATCTAATTTGGTATAACTTTAATCTCAACTTTAATGACCTATTCAAATAGAAACATCTTACAATTTGCGTTATATAATACACAAAGCCAAGGGACAAAATTGTTATTAAATCTATTCTCGATGACTCGAAGCATTTTTTTTTCAAATAAAACAGGACATATAGGGCTTATAAATAATACAAGGGTATAGAAAATATATAAATAAGTAAATACAAATATATTTTCAACCTAATGATTAATGATTATACTCGTTTAAATAAATAAATGATCTTTTTAAAATTACTTGTTTGTCTTTGCAAATTTGTATATTTAATATTTATCTAAAAGCGTACACTTACATAAATTACTGCACAACCTTTAAAATTAAGCTTTTAATATGTTATACAAATTCTTGATTCGAATAAATACACTTAAATAAAACTTTAAAATTAATGATCTTCCAAATTTCTGAGACAGCCATTTTGTTGAAAGAATTTGTTTTGATTATGAGAAATTTCATAAAAATTATCACAGGGATTAATTAATCTTATATATGAAACTACTTGGCTTTTAAATTTCACAATCCTATCGTCCAAAATACTCTAAATTCGCAAAAATCCGTAAATATTCCCATAAAAACAAATCACAATTCACTTCCACTTCACAGA